GGGTGGTGCTTAAAACAGGCTAACACATGACATCTATTTTAACAGTCTTTTTTCATTTACTCATATTGCCTTGATACTTTACAATTATTTTTTTCCTACAAGTTAACAGTACTGTTGCTGTACAATCCATAATTGTTTTTATTTCTCTAAAGAAGTAAGTGTGATCCATTTCCTATCAGTTGCATAAACACACTTGAAACTTCAGGCATAATAGGAGGGTAGTTTCTTTCGGTTTCTGAGGGCTTCCCTCTGTCACATCAGAGATGTTAACAGCTTGGCCTATACATGCATGCTGCCAGAGATAGTTGGGTGGTACAGGCACCTCCTATTTCAAGAACACAAATGGAAACTAGGTCTGCATGAGGACAAACCACACCTGGATGTCCGTGGCAGCCCTTATATTTATTCCTTCACTTTGCTGATATAGTCAGCGAATTTGGAGACATTTTCTTCCTGCTGTTCTAGGGCATCTAGGACAATGCCCATTGGTGTCCTCTTCAGGCCTATTCCCTCCATTTTATTCTCCAGTTTGTTCTTGAGGTTCCGAAGTCTCAATGACGCGTGGATGAACATCACTACGGAAAAGAGAAACGTGGTTAGCACGGAAGCAATGGCTCTTTGCCCATTGCAGCCTTAGGCTCCCCATCTTCACACTTTGGGTCAACTGCCACGGTTAGCTGTAGTCCAGTCTGGTTCTCTAATTTACCCAAGTCCTCACATGGATCCTTGGACTTGATATAAAGCTGTTTAAGTCATATATTAAGTGTCCTTTGTGTGTGAAGGAAAACACAGCAGGCAGGACTGTCATCTGCCAACCACACCTTCTCTTTTTCACGTTGATATTGTTACCTTTTTAGCTGCCACTTAAATGGCTTGAAATTCAAAGTGAATCCGTGTGATTCCAACTTACATAAAAACCTTACACAAAGTTTTCCAGAAAGGAATTCATGCTCAATTCAGGGATTATCAGGGATGATCAGGTGAAGTCCTCCTTGGAGGCACCTCCTGAGGCATTTTTCCAAAGTGATGGATATAGATGTATAGATAAAAACTAAAGGTTTTACACGTCAGTTACCCTAAAGTTTCCCGAATTTGCTTGATCATTTAGAATTACTCACGTTGTTTATTGAGAAATATTCCCTGGCCCCTCTCCTGGACCTCCTGAACCAGAACCTTAGAGGGATGGGCCTGGGATCTATATTTTAAATAGGCATCCCACGTGATCTACCAGGAGCGATTTTTCAAACTGCGGTGTATATATAAATTGCCTGCAGAGCTGTTACATAGGCAAATCCTAGGTCTCCACCACCCAAAATTCAGACCAGTAAGACTGAGGTAGGTTTCCACAATGTAAAATGCTAATATTCACTCTGGATGAACCTCATATAGGTGATCTTGGACCATCATTTTAAGAAACACTGGTGTGCATTTTATCTGGAGGCTCCCAATCTAGACTGGCCATTGGAAACATTTGAGGAGCTTCCTAAAAATACAGGTTTTGGGGAGGAGCAATGTCAACTCACAGACTCAAGATCTCTAAGGGATATGGCTGGGAAATTTGTGCTTTCTACAAGTGTCCTACATGATTCTCAAAATCATCAAGGTCTGGGAGTCACTAATCTTGTCTAACTTCCTTATTTTATAGATGAGTGAACGACAGCCCATATAGGATACCTGGTCCAAAGCACAGGGCTGGTTTCCAGCATGTCTAGGAAGAAAAATCTGGACCCTTGATCTCTACCTATGATACATTTCATTACACTGGCCTGTCTCAGGCCCTGATGTAGAAAGGCACTGAAGTTAACAAGCTGTGTGTCAAAGCAGAATCTTTGAAATACTGAGCCTCTAGTATATAGGGTAAATGTGAGGAAAATATTTAAAAGTCTTGACTTTGCTGATTGAAATATGTTGTCCAACAAGGTGTGGGATCCATCTATAAATATTCTGGGCTTAATCTCACATATCCCCAAACAAGCAACTGATTTTATTTAATGGAAAAAATACACATGTGAAATGCTATTAATAAGTTAAAAGACTGTTCCTGTCACTTAATATAATCGAATTTTAAGTAGATTTCTGCTGATGAGACTGGAACTATATCTGTTCTCTATTTCAGGTTTCAAGTGTTTGGGATCTCAGCAAACAATGCATGTAAAATTTAGAAAATATCTAGTTCTCTTCACCAGAACTGGAGTACTTGGTAACTATATTCTGGGCCAATTATTCTTACAGACTTAGGAAAGTTGGACACTAAACACGATATGCTGAGTAACTAGAGAGTAACTAGTTTACTTCCCAATGAAATACATTCATTCTTGCATCAGTATGAATGCATCAGTATGAATGGCACTTAAAGATTGAGACGGACTTGAATATCAGACCAATCTGGAGGCCAGTGCAGGCTGTACAACTTTCTTGCTGTGCGACTTGGGATTTGTACTTCTTTTGTTTATTGTTGTAGCCCCAGAAGAGTGTCTGGCACAGAGCAGGCACCCAGTAGACCTAAATCTATGGACTTACTGCACCATTAGCCTTGATCTGCTGTTTCAGAAACTTGTGATAATTTTGCAGACATGTCAACATATGGAAGAAACAGGGTAGGATATTCCCAGTGAACAATTGCTCCTACATTTTTTTTTAAGGCACAAGAAGACTGAGGTTCACTTACGCAACAAAGGAAAAGTGATGCCAAACACAAAGACCATGACTCCCCCGAACATGGATATGAGGAAGTAGCTGGCCAACATGACCACCATGACAAATGCTGTGGGGTACTGCTTCTTCATCCGGCGGAGGATGTCTTTGTTGTGTGCTGCCCACACAAACCCCGTGAACACCAGCACCACTACAATGCCTCCAAGGATCATGTTGAAGGGGCTCAGGAACCTGGAATGCGGAAAAACGAGGGAGCCTGGGTCAGCAGTAGTAGGAGCAGGAAGGGAAGATCAGAAAGGTAAGGAAGAGCAAATCAGGTGTTGAGTACTTACTCGGCATTCTATCTAAACTGGCTCATTTAATCCTCATAACCCGATGAGGCAGATGCTATTAATGTATTTCTCAAATGAAGAAAGTGAGGCACAGAGGTGAGAAAACGGTGGAGCCAAGATTCACACTAGGGTAGTTTGACTCCCACCAAAGCGGTCAGTCCGTCTCATTAGAGGTCCACAATTTTCAACCGTCACAGCCGCCCCAAATCCATACATGGCTTTTATTGCATCTGTAAAATATCACAGACAAGTCTGAGGACACGCTGTATGTCCCTGCAGTGTGATGTTGACATTTTCTGAAACGTCAACAGTCCTATGGCCGAGAGTGGTCCTCATTCTTATAGTAATGGTAGCGAAGAGCTAAAAGGCCTCTTAAAATTTAAAAGAGACCGCCTCTTTTTTTTTTTTTTTTTTTAAATTTTTTTTTTTTTCAACGTTTATTTATTTTTGGGACAGAGAGACAGCATGAACGGCTGAGGGCAGAGAGAGGGAGACACAGAATCGAAATGGCCCAGGCTCGTGAGTTCTCAGCCCAAGCCCGGACGCCATGGGGCTCCTCGAACCACGACACGAGATCGTGACCTGGCTGAAGTCGGACGCTTAACCGACTGCGCCACCCAGGCGCCCCATAGAGACCGCCTCTTTTGAAGGGGCTGTTTCACTTTCATTATCTCCTGGGCTCTGGTGCACATCCAGTACAGTGCTCACATATTTTCTGAGCTCTGCAGGCTTATTCAAATCCTCACAGGAGTTGCCACGACAGATGCAAGTCACGTGACGGCCTCCGTGGGCCAGATCCAGCCTACTGTCACATATATGCTTGCATTGGATGGTGTTTACAGAACTTTTATTTGAATCGCGCTGTGTTTAGAAAGTCCATAAAACTTGGGATTTCTAACTTCTCCCATAAACAAGAAAATCTAACAACAGTAGGCCCACTTTTCCACATGTCAGCCACTGGCTGGAGCACCTTCTCTTTCAGATAGAACAAATGCTCTCCAATTAGCTCTTGTCCTCCCACCATCTCCTGCATCTCTGACACAGAGGCCCCCATTGAGCTGCCATTGATCGTTGTTTTTCTAACAGCTGCCCTGCATTCTCTCTTACATAACCTGCCTGGCCCATGGAGGCATTTGAGTATATGACTCTTGGCAGAGAGAATCCATTATAACTCTTTAAAAGGGCTGGGAGTATCATTAGGGGATGGGTTATCAGTGGAGATTTCCAAGCACAGAGCCTCTGGCTTCATTGTTACGGGAGTCAAAGGTTACATTACTGTTGATAATAAAGAAGAAAACTTAGATCCAGTACTTCATAAGAGAGAATGACTGGGTGTTACAGCCCCCACTCTTACCCAAACCCACAGTGAATAAAGAACCCTGAATGTGACATTTGTGATCAGCAAGTCCCATGAGCTACTAACTTCTTACCCTCACAATAGGCTTGACGCGTATTTTACTTGGGAAGGACAATGAGGGTCAGTGTGTTTTCATCATGCTCTGAATATCAACATAACAGATTTGGAAATGAGGGACAGAAGCAAACGGGGCAATGGAAAGTGAAGCCAAGAGCTTACTTTCACTGAAATAAAACAGACGAAGGATTCATACTCAGAGCAGGATTCATATTCAGGATAACTAAGATTCTTTTTTTTTTTTTTTAATCCCTTTAAATTGTAGCTCTGATTCTACCTTCTGAAACATAAAAGCTATCTGAAATAGTTTCAGATAAGAGTAAAAGTATCACATGCCTTAATGGGTGAAATTGGGTGTATAATCAATGTGAAAGTGCTTTGGAAAAGTTAAAAAGGTCTATTAAAATGCATGCTATTAAACAATGGTAAGAGTAGTATAGGAGTACATAATTTAAAGTTAAATCCCATAATAGTAAGTTGCTTATTTCATTCAAAACTCTTGCAAATACTTATCCTCCTACAGGACATAAATCTCTTCCTCAGAATAGAGTCTACAGAAATAAACAAAAATGCCAAGATTGAGTTGTAACAATATTCACATGAGTGGCATATGATTAAAAAGTTTTAAAAATAATGTGTATGGCCAACAATTGCCTAGAGGTGGTATATACAGCTATTTTAAATACTTAATAATAAAAGAAGACACTAATAATATATTGAGTGGGCAAAAGCAACTGTAATTCTTTTAGGTGGAGATAGATATATACATGTGATAGATAGATATATACATATATAGATATATACATGCGATAGATATATATACATATATATGTGTGTATATATATATGTGTATATATATATGTATGCATGTATATACATATAGTATAGCTCAGAAGTAGAAAGCTTCACAATTAGTATATTATTTTGTAATTAGAAATAAAATGAACATGCAACAAAGGAAAATATAAAAATATAAAAGCAACTGCTCCCTGATCCCAACCCAGGCTTGGCACAGGCTTGCTACAACAGCCTATCTTTACTTCCGTCATCTCTCCAATAACATGAATGCAATTTCAATTCATACTTCATAGCGAAGCTGTTCCTTCTCTGACCCAAACCTTGGTTCCCTACTCATTCTGCAGATCTTCTTCTAGCCAGGGTTCACCACCCCACTCCTCCAGGCTTTTCCAGTACGCAGAACATGAACTATTCTGTCTGTCCTTCACCACTTCTTTATCATCTGGGGGCCACAAGTCACTCTGTACTTTTCTCTCTTTTAAAATTTTATCTGGGTTATGCCCTATCCGCTGATTTAAGCCCAGAATCTGGGAAAGACAATTATAGGCCTGGAGAAAGGAAGAATTAGGACAAAAATAAAATCTTTTTCAGCAGGCGGTGAGGAAATGGAGTGGAGAGGCCCAGGAACTGTCACCGATTAATAAATCTCATTCCTAGCTCTCAAGAGATTCCAGAAGAAATTATCCTGAAAGACTACATTGGTTATACAGGGGTAGTAGCATCATGGGTAGCTTACCCCTAGTTGTTTATTAGTTTCACCCAAATATTTTTCAGCTGTAAAGAAAAGCAAAAATCTACATTAACTCAAAAAACTACAGTGGAGGGTTCAAGTTAAAGGAAACACTTTGCATAAAGTGCAAATAAAAGATGGATGGTTGGATGGTTGGTAGCAAAGTAGCAAAGGTATCCTACTCAGTTCTTTACAGAACAGCTATTAAAATGATTCATGAGGTGAAGCATAAAATCAAGAGTATGCCAAGCTTTGTCTATTTTTCTCTGTTGAAGTAAAATAGGCATCTATGCTGAATGTCTAAATAAAACCCAGGACAAAGAACAACAAAAAATCCAAGCCTGACTCAAGCAATTCCAAATCTGCTTGTCACCTGTTCCTGTTCTTCATAGTCAAGGGAAAAGAACAGAGCACAGAGCCCTATAGAACTGGTTTTAGCTTACAACACGCCCAGCCACACAGTCTATAATTAGAAAGTAACCAAGTTTCCAAGCTGGAAAAAAATGAACAAAATTACTCGGAGCAGAAACGATGTCCCCCCTTCTTCTGAAGTGCCATTCCATTCTAACAAAGAGTAAAATTTGTACCGCTCTAATGCCTTGGCGCCTTCCTGCACTTGGAGGAAAATAAAACACCTACACCACCCTCTAGAGTTTAATTTCATTTTCCAATGAGTGCAGGAACTGGGGAGCCAGTTCTTGTCTGAGATGAGCAAAGCTTTTAGTCAACAGCGGGGCTCTTAGTCACAGCAACCCACAAGAAAGCCCAAGAACCTTTAGGAAAAAAAACTTCCATAAATATGCTACCCCAGCTTTCGTGGGCACAATTGCCACTGGGCTCTGATGGTGGAGTTTCACTTACAGGTAATCCCTGAAGGAGGAAGGGAGGGAGGAAGGAAGGCAGAGCGGTAGAAGGGAGGGAGAAGGGCAGAGAGGAGTGGAGAGGACAAAGGGAGAGGACAAATGTAACTTTCTGTCCTTGGTGGAAATGGGACCTAGTTTAACAAGTCAAAAGCATTCAGTATGTTTTCCTCTTGTGGGATAAAAATATATACCTATATGCATACACATCCTATTCCGTAAGTAAGTCAGTAAATAAATAAATAAATGTAATGGTTAAAAATTCTAGTGGAAACATCCACGGTTGTAAAGAGGTTTACAGTCCCATCACAGAATCCTGTAGCAGCGCATTCAAAAATAAATCAGTTCAGTCCCGTTGCACAGATGAATAAACCAAGGCCCAGAGAAGCGAAGAAACCTATTTCTAGGGGTCTAGGGGAGAGAAAAGGGTGCCAGCTGATGTAAGTGTGATAGCAATTCATACTATAACCCGTTGTGCATTGTTGAGCAGCTTCAGGAACCTCCCCCATGCCTTCTCAGTATTCTTCCAGTTGGGGTCAGCAATGAAGCATCGTTCTGGGAAATCCCGTGGCATTCTCACTTCTCTCTGAAAGAAGGTTGCTGTAAGCAGATGTGGACACATATCCTGAATGTACCAACATGAGTCGGGTAGCTATAGCTATGGTTTTAGCACAAGTCCCTGAAGGGGGAAGAAAAATCTTGGCTGGTCACAGAACTTCAGAGCTAGGACACATCTTGAAAAATGCATCTCATTCTACATATAAACAAGCTAACGAACGGACAGGTTAGTAAGTACGTCCTCAAAGCCATCAACTATAGAGTTGGCGATAAAAGTTTACCAAAACAGAGGTTCTCAGATCAAGTCAAGGGCACACCTGGTAACTCCTGTCACACTACAATGCCAACAAGAGTCAAAAAGGCACTGAAACACTTTCTGGGCAGGGGAAGGAGCTTCGCATCGAGTTCCAATTTTCTAACCCAAAAAGCTATTTTTGTAGTTTGCTTCCTGAGGAAGCCTGACTCACCAAGAAAGGGAGGGAACAATTTACTCACAGTGGATCTGTCTAAATTGGTGATGTTTTGCTGTAGTCCTGAAA